AGGGTGGATATAGCTCGCTAGCAGCCTCGCACCGAGGACCTATCCACGTCATCATTTACCCAGAATGCTTTGTGTGTAAATAAAATGGCCCCATCTGTGTAATATATTTTTAAACTTTTAGTTTAAAAATGATAAAAACTGAACATCCTACAGTATTTTTGCAGTCTATTTTACAGTTAAAATAAATGTTTATCAAATAAAGTCTGTGACATTTAATCATGGATCCCTTTAACACTCAAATCTTTAAAAAAGATTAGACTCTAAATACAAAAGCGTTGCATCATAAGGAGCTGCACCACATGAAATCACCTTTTATTTTTCTTTCTTTGAGTCAGTCTTTCACCTCATCCATCTGCAGTGTCACCCAGTGTTGTAATTTTTACTTTATTTCGGCAATGAAATGCAAATCAAAGGCCTTTTCTCCGGTTGCCATGGGAGACAGAAAATGGTGGCAGAAGTCAGATTCAAGTCATTCAGAAAATAATTTCAATGTCGTCGGGAGCTAATTTAACTCTTAATATAAGCATAATGACGAGGCCAATTTAGTGCCATTAGCTTGTCTGGAGGTAAGTGTTTGCATGTGGATGAGAGGAGGGAAGAAAAGGCTGTAAGAGAGGCTGATGTGAAATCGCTGCTCTCGGAAATCGCTTGCTCATGTCTGTTCAGACACAGAACATGTGCTTATAAACTGGAAGTGCTGCACCCTGACATCAAATCACTCACCTCAGCGTCTGAAGCATAATCACAAGTCCTGGTTCTGATGGTTTGCACACAGAGGAGCAGTCCGACTGCTGTTCACATGAGAAGTAATGGCACTCAGAGGTTTTTTATTTTTATTTTTTTTCTTTCGCACACAGCCTGGCTCTTTGGTTCCTTTTAGCCTTGAGTGAACAAAATACAGAAATATTCTCATTTTTCTCTGTGTAACATAATTTACAGAGAATTGCAGCTAAATTTTAATTTGTGATGTCATGTAGTTTGTTGGATTATTACATTTTCACTGCATTGATCTGAAAAGTGATGTTCAAAATCTGATTATTTATTCATTAAATTCAGATTTAACTTATGAGAGTCTGTCTGCAGGGTGACTCCAGGCTTAATAAATTAACTGGAATAATAAATCTGCAAGAGGTATCAAAAGCCTAGCATATTGCTCAATACATCAACCTAAATTGACTAAATTCTATAAGCCCCAATTTTATTTGTTCTTTAGTTTCTGTAGATTTTTATGTTGTGAATCTTGATTATTGTGGAAGCAGAACAAAAACGGCAACTTGGAGTTTTATACACTGAACGAATTTAAAAATGTAAAAACTTAAATTCACAGTTGATTTCATTAAGTCTAAATAGTTCATCCATCCATTCATCCATCATCCTTAACATCCATCCATCCATCCTCCTTAACCAACCATCCATCCATCATCCTTAACCATCCATCCATCTATCCATCCATCCATCCATCATACTTAACATCCATCCATCCATCCGTCCGTCATCCTTAACCATCCGTCCGTCATTCTTAACCATCCATCCATCCATTATCCATCCATCCATCCTTCTTAACCATCCATCCATCCATCCATTATCCATCCATCCATCCATCATCCTTAACCATCCATCCATCCATCATACTTAACATCCATCCATCCATCCATCCATCCATCCTCCTTAACCATCCATCCATCCATCCGTCATCCTTAACCATCCATCCGTCATCCTTAACCATCCATCCATCCATCCATTATCCATCCATCCATCATACTTAACATCCATCCGTCCGTCCTCCTTAACCATCCATCCATCATCCGTCCGTCATCCTTAACCATCCATCCATCATCCATCCGTCATCCTTAACCATCCATCCGTCATCCTTAACCATCCATCCATCCATCCATCCATCCATCCATCCATCATCCTTAACCATCCATCTATCCATCCATCATCCTTAACCATCCATCATCCTTAACCATCCATCATCCATCCATCCATCCTTAACCATCCATCCATCATCCATCCATCCATCCATCATCCTTGACCATCCATCCATCCTTAACCATCCATCCATCCATCCTTAACCATCCGTCCATCCATCCATCCATCCATTCTTAACATCCATCCATCCATCTTCCTTAACCATCCATCCATCCATCCATCCATCATCCTTAACCAACCATCCATCCATCCATCCATCATCCTTAACCAACCATCCATCCATCCATCCATCATCCTTAACCAACCATCCATCCATCCATCCATCCTCCTTAACCAACCATCCATCCATCCATCCATCCATCCTCTTCCACTCAGGGGCACCTCCTCCAGCTCATCTGGGAACATTCCAATGTGTTTCCAGACCAGTCAAGAGACCTCCAGTATATGTGGTCTCCTCCCATTCTGACATGTCTGAAGCACCTCCTTAGGGAGATGTCTTTCCCAGATAAACCAACTCAACTGGCTCCTCTGGATTTGGAGGAGCAGCAGCTCTCTGAGTTACAGTTCAGCTCATTTCAACTGCTTTTACCTGCAAACTCATTCAGTCATTACCCAAAGTTCGTGTCCATAGATAGGTGAGGGTAGGAACACTGACCAATGAACAGGCACCTGTACCTTACAGTTCAGCTCCCTCTTCATCACATCAGTCCGGAACAGCATCCGCAATACTGCGGAAGCTGCATCGATCCATCTGTCAAACTCGCGCTCCATTCTTCCCTCACTCGTGAACAAGACCCCAAAATACTTGAACTCCTCCACTTGAGGCAGAACCTCACCCACAACATGGAGATTTATCCACCCTTTACTGACTGAGGACCATGGACTCAGATCCTCATCCCAGCCTCTTCACACTCAGCTGTGAACTGCTACAGTGAGAGCTGAAGATCACGGCACAATGACAAAAACAGGACCACATCATCTGCAAATAACAGAGTCCAACTCCCACCCTGAAGGGTCCGACTTACCCCACAATGCGAATGTGTAAATAAGAATCACTTAAATTACATTGATTTCCATTATTTGTGTTTAATGGTCCACTGATCTCATTTCTACGCCAGTTTGTTGAAATTACGCAGAAATATAAAACTGCACCAGCAGACATCCAGCAAAGTCATGTTTGTGTGATGTTTTCACACTGTGTTGAAGTTGGTTACTTAATTTGACAAATAACCATACACCAACAATAAACAGTGTTTAATGTGTGTGTGCATGACCCTAGCAGGTGATTTGTGTGTTTACTGTAGATTGCGTTGGAAATTGTTAAACTAAAAACTAATTGTGTTTAATTCATCATCGGTTTTCAATGTTAAAAGTTTTAACATCAGCCTTGTTGAAGAAAAATGAAATGAAATGACACATCCGCCAAAAACAAATGTCTTGGTTAAATTCTTGGTGCGTATGCATGCATAGGTGTGTATTTTTGAGCTTGCAGTGTATGTGTGTTTGTGTGTGTTTTTTGCTTCTCTGCACTGATTTCATGCATCAGCAGTGCAGCAGTTTCTTTCCGATGAGCACCACAGTCACACGCTCAAATTTAAACAAACTACACAAAACAGGAAAGTAAGATGTACAAATGTGACTTTCAGATAACCGAGCTCAAGTTAACCATAAGACCTAACAAAGTAACACAAACAACTGTTTGCAGACACACACTCATTCCTAACTGTGTTTTTGTGTTTCAGCGTGTGATGATGAGTGTTCAGGTCTGTTGATAAGTGATATGGACCGTCTGTATCGCATCATCACTGATGTCACCCTGACCACACCCCTGCCACCACCTTATAAGGTTTTATACCGCTTTGAGAACATGACAGAGGAGCTGAAGGTAAACAATAAATATTCTGCCACAAGTTAAAAATGTTTCATTTTACTGAGAAATCATGTCCTAATTGTAGTTGGTGTTGCTTCATGGGACTCCAGTGTTAATTTAACACCAACAAAGTGTCTATATGTGTTCATACTCACTGCTGTTAAAATAACATTTGGGAAAGTGTTAAATTTTAACACACATTTTTTTGTTAATTTAACACCAACCAGTGTTTAATATTCAATATTGGGTGTCACATTAACAAAAAAATAGTGATAGTGTCAAAATTCAGTGTTAAAAGTAACACCAGCTAGTATTTAACAATACAGGATGTCACATTTACTTTTCAACAGTGTTAAAAGTAACACTAGTGTATTATTATTATTAACCAAGTCATTCACATACAAGATAAACAACTTGAGGATCCTATTTTATTTAACACTGCCCAGTGTTGAGACAACACTGAGGAAATCAACACTGTGAGTTAACACTAACAATGGGTGACCGTTTACTCAGAAAGTGTTAAAATAAAACTAGGGGGTTTTAAATCAACACCCAAAAGTTTGACTGAAATTCAAACACTCCAATTTTTGCTGTGTACTAGTCTGATGCTATGTGTTTTTCAATTGTTCAAAAAATTTGTTATTTATATGGAAGGGAACAAGAACAGATTTCTGTAGTTTTCAAGTTTTTATTTTCAGCCTGCTAGTGTTTTGGGCTGTAATAAAGCTTTTTCTCTTTTATATTTCTCTAATTCACGTTGTCAGTTTTATTCTCATTGTAAATCTTTTTTTTTCCCCTCTATCTCTTTAATTCTAGAAAAACTGTTTCAAAGCCTTACTCTGAGCCACAATGTGCCAGATTTTTTTTTTCTGATCCTTTCATCTCTGTGTTTCTCCTGCAGCACATGTTGTCGCCTCAGAAAGCTCCAGAGAGATTACTGCAGCTGGCCGACTCCAACCTGGGATCACTGGTCACTGAGATGGACCAGCTCCACAGCAGGGTAAATCCTTTTCTTTTTCCTTTCAGCTCCACATTATTCTGTCTTTACTTGCTGCTTACGCCTCGCATCAAATTACTGTGAAGCAGAAGTTGCCTGTCGAGTATTTTAGTCTTTGATTTTCTTCCTGTTTTGACAATTTTCAAAGATTTACTCCAGTTTGCATGTCCCACCAACTGATGACAGTGTTCACCTGCATGTGCACCACACAACTAAAGGTTCTTGTAAAAACATGACATGTCATCATAAAACTCCACTTAGTGCTCTTTAAAGACAATTTAATGTCTGTTGACATTATACTTTTAATTGATGTAGAATGAGGATATTAAACTGGCGGCTCGAAGGCCGGATGACTTCCGTCTGACCTGCCAATGAGTCCCCCTGAATTTTTTAAAAACTTAATTTAATATAAAATTAGGGGTGTAAGAAAATATCGATACACTGAAATATCGCGAAATTTCATTTCCCGATGCTGTATCGATATTCTAAAGCCCTGTATCGATTTTTAATTAAGGTTTAAAATGTCAACCTTCTTGCCAGCCGTTCATTTTTATGTTGTAGTTCAGCCTCTGACCACTAGTTGGCAGCAGTGAGCCAGCCATTTGGCTCCTCTACCTCTTGAGCGCCAGAGAATAAGGGTAGCATTAGCATTGTAAGTAAACATTAGCTTTTCTTTTCTTTTTTTTTCAGTAAGAGGTTTTTATTTAATAGAATTTTTGGACAAAAAAATCGCAATATATCGCAATATATTGCCTTGCTTACAGTATCGCAATATATCAGGATATATCGTATCGTGATCCCTCTGTTATGATATGTATTGTATCGCCAAACTCTTGCCAATACACAGCCCTATATAAAATACTACGCATTCATTTGGTGTTTTTCCTAAAACTAGAGTTCCGTGTTTGTCTGTGAGGGGAGTTAACCAAAATAGACAAACATGTTTTGAGTGGAGGGTGCCGACACAAACCACTCACATCTGTCAGGCTGAACCTTTTAGGGACTCAGGCCCTGACATTTGTTGACAGTAGTTCTATCCCCCGTACCCTATCGCATGTATTCTCACTCACAAACACACACACTAGCTAAAATGATATAGCCTGGTCTTGTCAAATCTCAAGACCGCATGTAATTACCTCCACTCTCACTCTGTGTGTGTGAGTTAAATTGAGTGTATTGGCATGTTTTTCATGCCTGTCAAAAATTCATCCGTCTCTTGTGTGCCGGTCCTTTGAGCATTAATGCGTGAGGTTATTTTCTTTTTGTCAGTAAGTCATCCATCTTTGTGTTTGTCTTCACGCTTATGCTTTAAATTTATTGTGCATGCATTGTTCTAATCTATCAATTTTTCACATCCAAGATCTTATTTTTCTTCACTGTTTACACAGAAATCAACATTTTCATTTATTTAAGGTTTGTTTATTATTTCATGATGTAGCTGTCTTTGTGTGTGTTTGTAGGCCACGAAGGTGTCTGCTGACGGAGAGCAGGTGGAGGATGATGCTGACAGGATCCACAAACGAGCTGAAGACCTGGAGCAGTTTATCAAGGACACGCTGCTGGGAGCCAAAGGTAGCAGAGGAGCTCACCTCCACCTGCAGACACTTCCAAATTCTGCCAGCGTACTTTTTTTTCTGTATCCATCTTTTGTTTTGTCACTGAGGCACAGTTCCTGATGTTTTATTGAACATGAAGTGGGGAAATATAGGTTATTACATAAAAATATAATGATAAAACTGAAAAAAACGAAGCTAACAAAATGAATCTTTTCTGTGATAAAAGCTGCGTCATCAGTAGTATTTAAAATCCTCAAACTTTGTGGTACTGTAACTAGTTTTTCACACTTTAATTGTGGGTATTTTTTGAAAGGAGACAAGAAGAATGACTTATTACCAGCTTGTTCCCTCACTAATGGAAAAGCTCAGCAGACTGACCAGCTGCTGCTGCAACAACCATCATTAGTTACATCAAAACTTGGCAGATTTAAAGGGGGACGTATCACGCAAAATCCATTCTTTTACCCGGTAAATGCATTTTGTTGCATAATTTGAGTCACTAGGAGTGCAGAAAAGTTAAGTTTAGTCTCTCCTGGTGCTGCGTTTGGGTCATATTTTTCAGCCCGTTCTCCATTTTCTATGTTTTCTGAATTATTACGTCACAGCTTTTGCAACAGAATTGCCAAAAAAGGTTTGGACTTACCGACTACAATCTGGGGGTCTTCATTGTCCTCTGGTTCTTGGTCAGACTCTGGTTCTGGGTCAGACTCTGGCTCCAACATGTAAGGCTGGATGGACAAGTCTTCCTTTGTTCACATCGTTTAATTAAATTGTAAATAAAAAGTTTCTGCACAGCTATATAACCATAAACCCATCTGTCAAACCAGAATGGAACATTCTGGAAGCTGGAGGGGGGCGAGGTGTGAAGGGCCTTGTTTGGATTTAAAGAGACAGCCTCAAAATGAGTTGATCTGAGACACACCTCAGAAAAGAGGCGGGGCTTGTGGAGTTATGGTGCGTTCACACCAAACGCGATTTCAGCTTCAAAATCGCAGCCAACGCTGAAGTTTGAAGCTCGTGCACTTTGAGGTCAGACGCAGGACAGTTGTTGAAGCGCCGCACGGCGACAGCCGCCCCGCCCCTCCCTCCTCTGTCGGGCTCCGTTTCATGTCGGACGAGGAAGTGGCTTTGCTTTAATTTACAGACAGCCAGAACGTGTCACGTTCATCAGATAATTAATTCATAATTAATTCACCAGATAATTCAGAGAAGAGGCTCACAGCTCGCTTTCAGGACTATTTTTTTCAGTCTGATGAGTCGCTGCCACGCATTGCTGCGGATCAGGACACGACTGCAGGCACTCATTTTAGCTAAAGAGCAGGAGCTCCATCTGTTTCAGGTTAGTGGACCTCATTCAGTAAACTGTCCCGTCGGGAAATATGTCGCTACGTCACACAGTGGAGTCTCTCTGATTGGTTGACGCTGCGCGTCGAGCTGCAAAAGTTCAGATTTTCTAACTTCAGCGATTTGGACGATTTGGACGATCTGAGCGTTCGACGCTCAGATCGTCCAAATCGTTCAAATCGCGCTGCTCTAATCGCGCTTGAGGCGCCGCAGAACTTCCCGACGTTGCTTGAAGCGCCTCCACCATAGACTTTGCATGTAAACCTGCTGCTCCTGACGCTGAAATCGCGTTTGGTGTGAACGCACCATTACAATAAGGAGGAATTCAGACCAAAGTATTGCAGTTCCACTTTATAAAGACCCAACTGAAGGATTTAAATATGAAGGAGGGTTTAGTTTAGTTTAGTTTAATTTATTCATTTCATTTAAAAATAAATCTTTAAAATTTTATACACAATAAAGAGAAAAAAAATCACACTTGAAATGAAAGGAGGCAGAAAGAAAAAAAATCTTATCTGCCTATTTTTTCCAAAATTAATTTCAGACAATAGTAATCAAAAAACAAAACAAAAATAAAAACTTAAATTCCTTTTCAAACAACAACTGTTGATAAACATTATGCAGTTTCATATTTAAAGGCATAGTGATTTAAAGGCATGATATGTCTGCTTTAATATGTTTATGAAGACACATAAATTAAATCAGGTTTTATCAAACATGTTGTAAACATGCTCTTAATGTTGTAGAAATGACCTTAACATTACATTTATTTATAGAACTAATGTTATAAGTTTCTTGAGTTGAAATCACCCTGGACAGCTCTAACTTTCATACTTTGGTTGTACTTTTTAAGTCATAAAAAACACAAAAACGCTCCTGGTAAAACTGTGAATCAAAGAATTTATTCTTTTTACCTTTTATGAATTTTTGATATGAGTTGTGGGAGAAAAAAAAAGTTCCCAAACCAGCATGTTGAGACTGGCTGTGATGAAACTGTCCTCTCCTTGCTGTTCCTCGCAGCTCTTTGGCCCTCTGCCCAATCACTGTGTGTGTGTGTGTGTGTGTGTGTGTGTGTGCGTTTGTGTGTGTGTGTGTGTTTGGCGAGTTAAAGAGTGTGCTGCTGCGCTCTGGATGATTGAGAGTAGCAATTAGAGTTAATTAGCGCCTATCAGAAACACACACTAACAAACACTGAATGTGCAAACACCGCTGCCAGTGTGCGAACATTGATACGAGCGTACACACAGACACACAACAAGACAACAAAATACTGTACACCTTTTCCTCACTGCGACTGCTTATGATGGCTGGATATGGGAAAATGATTCCATCCATGTTTTAAGTGGTTAATTGCTTTTTTAATCTTACTATGTAATTATATGGCTGCGACACGCGTTTACAGACTAATGCCCTCGCACACGAACGTGCACACGCACGTGCATTACAGCTGTTCATTAGCATGATGGCTTTACTTCTGTATTGGCTTTAATCACTTCATGTTTATACTTCAAATGAGAGAAATCCAACAAACACAGAAATGTAAACAAACTATCAAATATTTCAACTCGTTAATCATCGTGTTCATATTAAAGCTCATCAACATCTTTTGTGTGTGTTTTGCACAGACGCACATTAGCTCATTAGTTTCCAGAAAGTAGTTTTATTTTGGTGATCCTTGGTGTTTTAGTGCAGTTTAATTTACCCAAAGTTGTACAAATGTATGAAAAGTCTGATTTATATTCATATTCAAGAGAAAAAAAGTCAAAGATATCCATGATTAGTTGTAACATTAGACTTTAATGAATAAACATACATTTTAACTGTAAAATAAAGACTGTAAAAATACTGTAGGATGTTTAGTTTTTTTAAATTTTAAAATATATTTTAACACGGA